CTTTTTTCTGAGAGAGACATTAAACTATTTTCCCCAAACAAAAGTGCACTCATAATATCACAGTGGGTAATCACACTTGATCCTCTGTTCAGCAAAGGATGCCATTGTTCCTTTAATGTTTGAGTCACATTTTGCATTGTAGTTGATAGAAATCATTTTACATTTTTTCCCCCAATTTGGTATAAGTGGGAAGCAGTCCCTTAGTTTTCCCATTAACTACAGTATTGCCTGTTATTTCATGTAGAAAAGTCTCAACCACCTCTGAAAAACAGCTTTTCCAAAAAAAATAAAAGCTGTCCTTATTCTCAGGAGTAAGAGATACAGAACCTGAAATGTGATGCTTTTAGCTGGTCAAATATTTTGACCAGGTCTGTTCATTATAAATAAGAAGCACTTACTCTTATTTAAAAGGTAACCACTATTTCTAAAGTCTCTACAGTCTGAATAGCAACTCTGAATAGAGTTCAGAGGTAAGCACTGAAATGTACTCCACAAGACTAAGGCATGACTTGATCTTAAGTTTCAACTTACCATGAGAAGAGGATAATGTGCTTAGATAGATGCAGCTTTCAAAATGCTTTGTTTTTCATTCCTGTTCTAATATATAGCTGTTGCTAAAAAGCTGGTCTCGTTGTCCCTGGAAATTGACAGGTTATCTTTAAGTTGCCCCGTTCCATTCAATCCTCTCTCTTAGGAGCCTTCCTCCCAGTCGGCCTAATCTAAACCTTCAAAGCCTAAACAAGTCACATGGCCAGCAGTAGTACCTTTGTAAAACAATATTCTACTTGATTGACTGTTAGAATTCACAAGAAGTATGCTTTTTCTCAGATGTGGAATGTTTGCATCAATTCACCATCAGTCATTAGTTTGTTGTAAGAAAACTCTGAGGTTTGCTGTTGAAATTGTTTGGCTCATAAATGGGTTGTTTTAATTATAGCAGCATGTTAGAATGACTTGTTTTTCTTGTTAATTAAATCCTTTCATTTATCCTGAATATTGTAGTATTAAATTGGTGGATGGCGTAATTTGGTGTAGATTTCTTTATTGTGTCTGTTTTGTATGAAGCAAAAAACCCCAACAATTTTAAGTTCTCCATGTCAAGATATTTGTACTTCTTAGATAAAGCTGGCAGTTAACAGGTTCCAAAAAAAAAAAAAAAAAAAAACTACAGTTGTTTACTTTTTGGGGAACCTGTATGTCAGTGAGGATTATTAATAGAAACTTTTTATCCTGGATTAGAATAGCTTTCCTCTTTTCTGTTATCTCCCCTTAATAGTATTTATGATGTCAGGACAGTGGGTGCGTAAAAGCAGATAGAATGAGGTCTTCTAATCACTCCTATTTTGACTCCAGCTCTCTCAGTTATTGTACTATCTGTAGTATTACTGGACTTTATTGTCAGAAGACTGTCAGATTTGGGGGTAAGGGAAAAGATTGATATGAGTAAAGCAGGAAGATTACGCCACCTTTGCTGTGATCACTAACCTCAGGTAGTTCGTGGTCTGGAAGTGATGCTTACTTTTTAAAATGCAGCTGGACACCTGCTGCAGCAACACCACCTTTCCTTTATGTTTTTTATTGTGTCCCTGAAAAGTCATTCTAGTTTATGAAACCAGACTAAATATCTGTATTCCATTTGCTATAACTTTTAAAAGTAGATTTTTGAATTCCAGCTTTTGTGTATTTGGTATTTACTGCCATTCGCATGAATTGAGGGTCAGAAGGAAAGGGGATCAGCCTTCTCCGTGTTACCGTTCACACATTGGTGGGTGGCGTCAGTTCACACTAGCTGCAGAGTCCCAGCACTGGAACTAAGTCATGTGTATTACATTAAGTTCAGCCACACTTATGTAGATTACATACTTTGTAGAATATAAAGTTGTCACAGGATTTACTCGTGAATTCACAATTCTATTTTTAAAAACAAGTAACAGTATTCTCTGATCAATATCAAATCCAGATTTAAAAGGGAATTTTTTTCCCTAAAAGAGCCCATTTTTGTTATCTTTTAATCACTCTTAGAAACCCACTTATGATAATAAATTTTAAGTTTATGCTCCCGTGTCAACTCTAGAGTGATTGGCTATGAATATTAAAATCTGCTGTTTTGCTTTGGAAACATGCAATTGCTGTTTTTGATTAAACTGAGAAGGAGCACTTACAACAAAGGACGTGATGAAGTGTATTCGCTCCTCTTGATTTACCTTCTCAGAACTACAAGAATACAGCACTTAGTGAATAATTACCTATAGCATTTCTACCAATTGCTTTATTACCATACTGGTCTTGCATTTCTTATTGCTGTAATTCTGTTTTTTGTGATATCTTATTATTTGTGAGTTATTGTTTTGTTTTTAATAACTGAATGTTAGATAAATGTGTGTCTGAACCAGGTTCTTTCCTTGAACTTATAGCAGTCCTCCTTCCTCAGCTTCCTGAGTGCTGGGATTGCAGTTGTGAGGCACCGCACTTAGCTTCAAGTTCCTAAATTTTTTATTTTCATTTTAAGTCATTAAAGAAAAATTTCTTGTTCAGTAGCAAAGAATTTTTTACTTCCTACTTTCCAAAATGCCTAAAAAGTATGAAATTGCTTTTCAGTGGACTATATTGCGTACTTTCTGCTGAAAACTTTCTGAAACACAGTTCAGTTTTGTAGTAATTGACTTATCATGATATACACTGTTAATCTGCTTTTTGATGTTGATGTGTGTTTGATATAGTGATAAAACTTAGAAAGGAAAAGGAAATGGTCCATGATTGAAATGGTAAGTCTAGTTCGATTGCTAGGCTTAAATCTACGTTTATATTTTTGGTTACTGTATAATAACCTTCATTTTATATTACTAGAGAGCAACTTCTTCAAGGGTCCGGCTGTATGACATCGTTGCAGTTTTCCCAAAGACAGAAAAGCTTTTTCATGTAAGTAACAGATAAAAGAGAAGTGTTTTCTTATCTGTAAGTCTGATGTCAGGTCTTTGCAGGTGTACTGTGTCTCCTCATTCTTTCATTTCTGTTGCTGTGATAAAATAACCTGACAAAAAGCAACTTAGGGAAGGAAGAGATTTATTTCAGCTTATGGATCCATCATTATGAGGAACTCAGGGCCGGAATTTCAAACAGCTAGTCACATCACATCCACAGTCAACCGTAGAGAGAAATTAATGCATGCGTGCTCACTTGCTTGCTTGTGCTCAATCTCTCCATTGTACAGCTCAAGACCCACTGCCTAGGGAACGCTGCTGCCCACAGTGGCCCACACTGATTGTCTTAGTAAGACAATCCTGCACAAACATACTCACAGGCCAGCCTACTGTAGACAGTCCTTCGTTGATATTGTCTTCTCAGGTGATTCTAGGTTGTGGCAAGTTGACAGTTAATCATCACACTCCCCATCTGGAAGCTTTTAGGATTTACGTTCTGGAATTTTATAGGGGCATATTCTTTTTTTCTTTCTTTCTTTCTTTCTTTCTTTCTTTCTTTCTTTCTTTCCTTTCCTTTCCTTTCCTTTCCTTTCTTTTCTTTTCTTTTTTTTCTGAGACAGGATCTCCCTGTAGCCCCAGCTGTCCTAGAACTCACTGTGTAGACCAGGCTGGCCTTGAACTCATCGAGATCCATTATAGAGGCATGTTCCAAAATCTAGGCTCTAATGCTAGGAAAGAGGGTAACCATAGTCTATGAAATTAAAGAGATTCTAAGGAGCTTTGGGTGGATAAGTATGTTAGTCAGTGTTCTCCAAAGAAACAGAACTGGTAGAATGAATATATATGTATAGAGATTTATCAGCTTAGCTCACAGGATAGAGTCTGAGTAGTCCAACAATGGCTGCACCACACTGGAGAGACTGAGAATCCATAGTCGCTTAGTCCACGAGGCTGGATGTCTCAGTAGTCCCAATATGGCACTGAAGGTCTGACGAATTCTAAAAGTCTTCAGTCTATAGCAGCAAGAATAACTCACCAGCAATAGAGAAGGCAGGCAGCAAGAAGCCAGGCGTTCTCCTCTGCTGTGGCCTTTTATACCAGCTGCCATCAGAAGGTAACATCCGCATTTAGGATGTGTCTTCCAGCTTCAGATGATAGAATTAAGAAAATCTCTCTCATTTCAGTTAATCCCAGATCCAGTCAAGTTGACACCAGGGATTAGCCATCACAATAAGGCATACTTTATTCACCATTGGCAGGCACCCAGTCACATACCAGCACACAGGGGCACACCTGGGGGCAGCACACACACAGCCTGCAGAGGTAGATACACAAACCTGTAATCAGGAAGACACGGGCAGATTAGCAAAGGTGAAGGGCTCAGGCCTCTAATCTCAAGGCCATATTTATACAAAATCATACAAAGTGGCACACTGCTAAAACTAGTTACATAGCAGATTATATCACTGTTTACTTTGAGGATCCCTGGACATCTGGTGTCCGTCATTTTGTGCTGGCTCATAAGCCTCTGAATGTCTACCCTTAGCCATCTTGGCCCATACTGGATAGCCATATCAGCACCATGTTGTCTAAACATAAACTGACCCTTATGACCCTCTATTTCTAACACATAATGAAGCATGTGATTTTGACTTGTTTTCTTCATCCTGACAGACAGTTGGTAGACTTGTGAGAGGCTTCTAGTGTTCTCCTATTTCTTTGTCTAAACCTCATTCATTTGAAGGTTCTCCTAGGTAAATCCATCCCTTCCTACTCTGTACACACTTCAGTTTCTGACTTTATCTGCTCCTCCCTGTTATAGAAGAAAAGGACTAGTTCCTCTGTTTCAGGTTCCCTTATAAATTGAATTCCTTTAATTCTTTTTTAAAATATTTTTTAATTTTTATTTTGTGTCTGAGTGTACTGTCTGCATGTATGTAACTACACCTGCATTGTGCACTGCCCATGGAGGTCAGAAGAGGGCTTCAGATTCCCTTGGAACTGGAGTTTTGGACCATCGTTAGCTGCCATGTGAATCAAATCCAGGTTCTCTGCAAGGAGCAGTCAGTGTTCTTAACCACTGAGCCATCTCTCCAGCCCCTCTTTTATTTTAAAATTGACCTTTCATTGCTTTTTCATGAAAGAAAGGAGCTTAACATGTAGGCTCATTTTGTCTATTCAAGATAGACTACCCCAGGCATTTTCAATGATTAATGTAAAGAAAAACTATAATACTTCTTTGGGTGGGAGGCAGGAGACGGGTTGGGGGGGAGGGTAGGGGAATGTTACTGTGTAAAATGAGGTATAACTACTTTTAGATGGTTATCCAGTAGATGGAGCCATTGACTAAGAAGGTGATGCACAGTAATTTTCTCGATGCTCAGTGTCAATTATTAATTATATTAATAGAGAGGGAAACACTGCAGATTATCTAGAATACATGACCCCCCCATTTTTGTGGCTACTTTATGAAATGCAAACTTAAAGTAATTCTCAGGTAATCTTGTTTTAGCTAAAGGAATACATAGAAGCAAACAGTTCTTACCCATCAGAGACACCTGTGCAGTCTCTTGTGTTGGACACATTGTCCCACCACTGTACTTCTTGTCAGTAGATTTGAAGTTGAGTCTGTATGCCTATGTGTCTTCAAGAAAGCCTGACGGAGGCTGAAAAGATGAATTTTGAAGACAATATAGTATACATTTCATAGCCTTTACCTGATGATAGGGAAACAAAGCTTAAGGAAATTTTGGCTAGAAAACATACATTACCTTCTAAAGATTTATTTTGTTTGTTTGCAGTACTAGGACTTGAACCCCAAATCGCATACATGCTAGACAAGTAGTCTACCACTGAGCTAAATCTCCAAACCTTTTTAGTTTACTTTGAGGTAGAGTCTCTAAGTTGTCCTGTTAATCTTGAACTTGGGATCCTCCTGCCTCAATCTTCCATGTAGCTGAGATTGCAAACATATGTCACCATGCTTAGCCAAAGCCTTTTATATATTATTTCCTTTAACTTTCACAGCAATCCTATTGAATAATCAGGGTAAATATTCTCATCTTACAAAGGAGAAAACTGAGCTTAGGCTAAATTATTTGTTGTAAATCTCCCAACAAGCATGTAGTAGAGATAAGAATTTCAGATCTTGTATGCTGAAACTTCACACAACAATTTATCTTATTTTTCTCAGACTAGTCAAGTTTGAATTTGCTGAGCACAGACTTGAGGGTTGTGAGTGGAACAATTAAATATTTTAAAAGATGAGAGAAATCTATAAATCAGAGTTATTTGGGGGAATTGACATTCCAAAAGTTACATGAGAGCATAGTTTCTAAAATTGGAATAGCTTCTTCTTTGCTATCCAAATCTTACCCATTCTTTAGGACAGAGTTGATATTAGAGTCTCTGTTTTCATAGAAAATCTATTTAAAAGGCTATTTTTTATCATCAAGCATTTGTAAATGTATCATGGTTTGAAATTAGGTCAAATGTAAACAGTTTAAACAGTTTGTTACAAGTTACATTCAAGAAGTGATTTGTTGTTGTTGTTGTTGTTGTTGTTGTTGTATTTGTAAGCCGATGATCCAGAATTCCTATATTCCTATAGGTATGATAAAGTGAGTCATAAAGCCAGCCAAACACACACACACACACACACACACACACACACACACACACACACCCCACACTAAGATAAAAACAAATGAAGACGGGGGTATAACGGATGAAAAAAGTGTCCGTAGGAAATAGCATACTGTTTTTCACTCAAGGTATCTGGAAGGCATCTCATACATAAGAAACCCTCCCCAGAGCTACCCTAGGGGATAAAGCAAAGATTAAAAAGTATGGGGGGGTTCTCTTTGAGACAGAGGCACTTATGTGATATTATAGACAGGGAGAATTGCATCATAGCTCCAGGATCTTCCAACTCAGTCATTCCATTTAGGATTTAAACTGAGCAAAATAGAGAATTTAAGTAATTGAATCCACTGGTCTCCAAACTGCATTGATTGTGCATCATTTTAAAGAATGTTGAGCCAACATCCCAATATGTTTATGATTTTTATAAATTGTTTGCATGTCTCTTTCTACCCTTGTTGTCCTAGTTTCTGTTGCTGTGATAAAAATACTGACCAAAACCAACTTGGGGAGGTGTCCTAGTTTGTTTCTCCATTGCTGTGACAAAACACTCTGACCACTACCAACTTGGGGAGGAAAGGGTTTATTTAGCTTACATCTCCCAGGTCACAGTTCATTAGGAAGCCTAAGGTAGGAACTCAGGGCAGGAACCTGGAAGCAGGAGCTGGAGCACAGGCCATGGAGGATCACTGCTTACTGCCTTGCTCCCCTGGCCCTTGCTTAGCCTGCTTTCTTATGCAATACAGGCCCACCTGCCCAGGGGTGGTACCACCCACCGTGGGCTGGTCCCTCCCACATCACTCAACAATCAAGAAGGTGCCTCATAGACATGGCCATAGGCCAGCCCAATGAAGGCAATTCCCAGACTGAGTCTCCCTCAATCCAGGTGTGTCAAGTTGACACTAAAGCTGTCCAGCACAGGAAGAAAGGGTTTATTTTACCTTACAGCTTACAGTTCATTGAGGGGAGCCAGGGTAGGCGCTCAGGCCAGGAACCTGGAGCACAGACCTTGAGGAGGAATGCTGCTTACTGGCTTGCTCCTCTGGCCCAGGCTCAGCCTGTTTCTCAAACCACACAGGACCACCTGCCCAAGGGTGGCACTGCCCACAGTGGACTGGGCCCTTCCACAGCACTCAACAGTCAAGAAAAATGCCCGACAGACATGGCCACAGACCAGTCCAATAGAAGCCTTTCCCCAATTGAGGTTCCCTCTTCCCAGGTGTGTCAAGCTGACAACCAATGCTATCCAGCACAAATGTGCTTTGTAAAATAATACACACACACACACATGCACACTTATTTTAGGGAAGTAAACTTAAAAAGAAATGGAAGTAGAAGTTCTGTTTCTGTCCTCCT